TGTCTTCGAATCCATTCTGTTAGCCTGTGTCTTTTTATGGGTGAGTTAAGGCCATTAATATTGAGGGATATTAATGACCATTGATTGTTCATTCTTCTTTTATTTGGATGGTTGGTGGTGGTGGAATTATGTGTGGAGTTCCACCCCTTTGTTCTTTTGGCTGTTGGTAAAGTGGGATTATCTAATGCCTATGTTTTTCTGGTTGTAGTTAACTTCCTTGGGGATTTTCCCCTCTTTAATTCAATCCTTTATCATTATATAATGGAATTCCTTATCTTTCTATTACTTGTAATCTAATGTCCATTTAGTTTAATACTGTCATAGTCCTGCTTCCTTTTGGATCCCATTTGAATGAAATATCTAATATCTCTTCATTTGCACATTATGGGTAAAGTGAATTTCTTTAAGAAACATACAGTTGGGTCTCATCATATCATCTATTCTGTAACTCTGTCTTTTAATTAGAGATCTTAATCCATTAACATGTAAGATAATTATCCCTAGGTTAGGTCTTGATTTAGCCATTTTATTACTTGTTTTACAATGTTATCAGATACTTAAATCATGGTTGTTAATTAATATCTGTAACTGACACAACCGTTTCAGGTTTTAAGGTAATTTTCAAAATAAGATAGCTATGAATACTTTTAATTTGATCATATCAGCCTGATCCATGCTTGTGAATTTGTTCTAATATAAGTAATACTTTCTGATTTACTATATTTTTGTATCAACATTATGCTTTCCACTTTATTTTATTTTTTCCTTCCCTCCCACTCCCTCCACTCCTCCCTCCTCCCATATACTCCATAGAGAGGGTAAGGCCTCCCCTAGGAAGTCTGTTTTCCCACTTTTTACAGCATAGTGGAATATCTGGTTCACATCCATATGGATGAATACAAAGGATTCGTATAACATTTGCTCTCCTCTCTTGTTGCTCTACGTGGTGTGTAAGCATCATTTGAGATGCCATTTGGTCACTAGTGCAGCAGAACACAGCTGAAACTGTTAGAAAGAGACACACGCCCATCACATTCACTCTTCTTTGAAACTAAATCAATAAATGTGTCTTAGTCATCCAGAGGCATCAGAGTGTTAGGGTTCAGATAACTTGGTAAAATAATACAAATTCTATTTTTTAAACACATACACCAATGTAAATACACCTCACAAGATCTTGAAAATAAACATCACATATAAATTTGTTTCTTTAGTTAAGATTAGACAGATGCAACAAAAAGTCACAAACAGGATATGCCATTCAAAATAATTGCACAAAGTTTCAAATAATTCTTTAAAAAACCATCTATTCCTTGAGGTTTTTATAGTCAGTTAATAAAAAGGGTTATTAACTAATTTCTAAATCTTGTTTTCTTTTTTAATTTTGGAAGGCCATCCTAGTCAAAAATTTAAGTTGTTCAAACCAATTTAGATAGCGGTTAAAAATAGCTATATTATTAGATAATAAAAATATCTTAAATTGAGCATTTTCAGAAGTCAATAGAGAATTTAGGTTTTCAACGCTCTGGGCTGTGGCAGGTTGTGTTCCAGTCATTAGCTGGCCATCCATTGTATTGCAATTGTTTCCGAAGGACTTAAATTATTACGTTTTTATATTCTGATGAAAACTCTTCCAAACTACATTACACACTTGGCTACTCTCATTATGGAACTCACAAAGCGCCAGGGCAAACGACAGGAGTACCAGTGTGGTGCTGGGATGGGAGAGGGAGCCAAAGAAGGTAGAGCAGTCGGCCACTGAACAAAAGCCATGGATGTGGCCTCCCTCTCCAGTCTTCTCTCTTTCCCTTGCTGTGGCTTGTCACCGCCATCCTTACCAGTGCTTTTTTACTTAGTAATTTTACACTGTTTCCATTTGAGATGGTCTGAAAAATCAGAATACCAAAAGTGTTCTCACCATGCAGTAGGTGTTTTATAACGTCTGGAGTTGGACATTTTGCCCACTCCCTATGCCCTCTTTTCCATTTCGGTTTACTTCGTCTTTTCTTTGTTGTCTTTTGAAGTAGAGATGACTAGATCCTGTTTTCTAGTTACATGATGTATTTCTCTGACAGTGGCCTCTGCCCCATACACAGTGACAAACACAGTGTGCATATAGACCCAATTCATACAGTCCTTTATTTCTTAAGGAAATATATAAATTAGATTATTTATAATTAGTGCTGGGATAGACTCCAGGGCCTTATGTAAGTTCAATATCCACTCCACCACTGTGTTACACACCTAGCTTGAAATTATTATTATTTTTTTTTTGAGACAGGGCACTGTGTAGTTGACCTCAAACTCACTATGTAGTTGAGCCTGGTCTTAAACTCCAGGTTCTTTCCCTGGTTCCTAGGTGCTGGATTACAGATGTGTACCACCACAACCAGTGTGTGGAGTTCCAGGGACTGAGTCCAGGCCTTTGTACATGCTAGGCAAGCATTCTGCAAACTGAGTTGTATCTCCAACTAAATCAATTTTTGATGAACACTGAAATGAAAAGACATTTGGTTAAGAATGCAGCAAGCATTCGTTCATTGTACCCCCATGAAGACCCAGAAACTTTCAAATCTCTACTGTTTGGCTAGGTTAGTGTGAATCATCCTCCTTCGCAACATGTTTCCCGCAATTAACACGGAGCTAGAGGGCATGAGGCATCCAGGAGTGACAAACATCTGTTTTCAGTCTTCATAGGATAAAGCATCCACAAAATCATCACACCAAACCATTAGTCATTTTTCAATCATTTCTCATTTTTGAAACACCGTTTTCTAAAATAGGAAGTCCCTATGACTTAAAAGTGACAGCAACAAGTAATCTGAATTTAGTTCGCTCAGTGATTACTAGCTCACTTGGTAATCATAGCTAAGGTTATTATTATTGGGCAGGTAGAATTCTCTTGGGAGTTATAGGTTATGGAACTCTGATTTTTTTAGAGCTCTCCCTTTACTAGGCTTGATTTTTTTCCAGTTTTTAAAATATGTTTTTAATTGAAACAGAATTATACCACTTTCCCCCCTCTTTTTCCTCCATCTAAGCCCCTCCTAGATAGCCTTTTTTGAACTCCTCCCACACATCCCATTCTCAAGTTGATAGCCTCTTTTTTATTACTCTTATATACAGATACATATAGATGCATATATGTGTACGCACAAATACATGCAGAGTCAGCCTGCTGAGTCTGTTCATGACAAGCTAAAATGTATACCTTGTGATAGCATGATTGTGTTACTTGGCCTTTAGAAAGTCCATCCATTTGTAAAAATGTAAGCATTTCAGCATGATGAGTCATAATAGAGATTCTCTTCACATGAGCATGAGCGGAACAATAACGAGTTGAACATCTAATTCACGCCTGACAGTGTTCAGTGTGTATCCTATCTCAATTGTTTCCTACTGTAGACCTCTAAGGTCAGTATTTTTATGTACGTATGACCTCGAAGCCTAACCTTGTCAGCTGTTATTCTGGTTGTTGCACAAATGGCAATAATTTCCTGAATGCCTGCTATGTGCCATGTGCTTCTCCAGACACCAGGGCATAACAACAGCAAAAATAAGCCAAAGAGAGAAAGGACTCTGCTCTTGTGGACCTGCACCTGGAGGAGAAGATAGTAAATGAAGTCTGGAGTATAACAGAGGGTAATGTTTGGTACAGAGAAAGATAAAGCAAGGTGGAGATAGGGAGTCATCAGATGGAAGGAGCAAATTGTGCTCTGAACCATAGTGATGGGAAGCCTTTATTAAAGAAGTAACATTTGAACAAAGGCCAGGAAAGGTGAGAGGGTACTATGGAGATCCTGAGGAAGGGAGGGACACAGGTTCCAGGAAGACATAATGTCAAGGAGACAAGAACAGGTCAATTTTTGCTTTGAGTGAGAGGAAAGTCATGGGCCTGCAAACCTTTAGAGAAGTCACATGACTGATGTGAATGCAGCGTTGTCCCTGTGGTTTCTGCATTGAGCCAAGACTGAAGTGAGTCAGTGTGGAGGCTAGGGTGCCAGTCAGAAAGCCATTGAGAGAAGAGATGCTGGAGACTTGGCCCAGGGATTTGTGAAAAGTGCTCTAATTCTACCTTTGAACTTTGACCCTCCTGCCTGGCCTTGTTCATGCTGAAATTACAAATGTGTGCCACCACATCTGGTGTAGGTACATGTTGATGGAGAGAGAAATGGATGCGTGAAGGATATGCTAGCTTTATTTTATCTTGACCAGCTGTAAGAGGGAGGCTATGGGAGGAGCTGATCCTTAAGGGGAGATAGATTTGTGTTTTAAAGAAGAGTGGAGAAAGCAGGGCCTTACAAGTTGATTCAGCAGGAACGGCAAGTACATCCAAGCCTAACTACCTTTGATACATCCCTGGTACCCACACAGCAGAAGGAAATAACCAACGTGGTGCACTGATTTCCACATGCATGACATTCTGCATGTGTATGCATGTGCATTCACGAATGCACGTGCACACGCACACACAAATAAGTATAACAAAAACATTGAAAATGAAGTGTTGGAGATTGCCTAGTGGGCCATGTCATAAACAAGTTTGATGTTCAGAGGAGAGGTCTGGCCTGAAATATGTGATTGCAAAGAGTCTGAAACCAGCACGAGCAGCATGTATCTTTCTGACAATTTCCTCGTGGGTACCTCGAAGCATGTGTCAGATACTGGCTGCTCTATCATGTTCTGAATGGAGAAGGATGGAGAGCAACACCCTGAGGTACACTGTAGTCTCTGAGCAGGGTTTTTCTAAACACACTCTTAGGTTTCACCAAAGGGGAAGTCAGTGCAAAGGGAACGAGGTTCTGGGAGGTTTGTGCCTTGTGCTGATAGTCCTGGAGCCTGGGTTTGCATTGAGTCTTTTAAATACCAAGACCTACATATCAGGCCACCAGGGCTTCATCACAGGCCTTCTGCCTCAAGGCCAGCCTTTTTAGCAACAGAAGGACATTGCCACAGCAGCCCTGCAGCCCACTCTTGGCTGCCCCTTGTTGCTCACTCACCACGTTCAGCAGCATAATGATACAGAAGTTTATGCACACTGCGGTCCCCGTGGTTGCAACCTGGGAGTTATTCCTGATCAACGCCCACTTAAAGGCCGCGAAAGTGCTGACAGTCACCACCCGGTAAATGACGATCCCGAACACGGCAGCGATCACCACGCAGATCTACAAGGAAGGCGGAGGAAATCCAGTGAGACCTCAATGCCAGGTTTCAGGAAGCAGATTTGTGCTCTGGTGAAAAAGGAAAATCAAGTGATGGCGATCCTGCTTCCAAACTGTCCCCGGGAAGATGCACTTTTCATCCTGGTGAACATTTTCTCTGTCTGGGTTTCCTGACAGAGTGGAAAAACCACATTGCTTGGAAGCATAAGATCTACCCAAGGAAGGGGGTTATGCTTTTTAAAGCAAAATAATTGTGTGATCACATCAACCCATCCTTCTAGAAATCCTATTATGCTTCTAATTACAATAGTATGAGTTATGGCACATATATGGAGGTCAGAGGACAACTTATGGGGTCCGTTCTTTCCTTCCACCTTGTGGGCTTCAGGTATCAAACTCAGGTCGACGAGTTTGATGGCAAGCACCTTAATCTGCTGAGCCATCATGGCAATCCACAGACATTTTCTCACTGCTTCAAATGAGTTAAGTATTTCAGTCTTCAAGACCATTTCCATAACACCTATCCACCCATCTCCTGCCCAAAGTGCACACACTCCTGTACACAGCCCAGGGAACAACTCCTATCCCTTTTCATGTCTCAGCCTGAGAACCACGGGGAACTGCATCTTTGCCTGAGCACCAGAGCATTGATGTTGTTGCTGAGCATGGCACGTGAGCTACATGCATGTATCCTCCTCCAGGGTTCTACTGATGATTTCTCACAATCTTTCTGGTTATTGCCAATTTCTCCCACTAGAAAGTAAGGCCCAGAAGGCAGGGACACTGTCTGCATACTCCTGTTATGTGTGGCTGAATAAACTAATGATTTGACAGAGACGTAGTATCTTACTATTGGATACAAGCATAGAAGCACCTTTTGTTGAAGGTTCGTGATACTTGGGAATAGTTTAAGATAATAGAATCTGAGACTCCAAACAGTTTTGGAACTTTCGTTCCCAATAGAGACCATGGCCCACTTAATTTTCTAAAGCTGGGTCTTGAATTCAGTCCCTGAAGTGATAGCCATTGATTTTATAGATTCTTTTTCCTTACAGTGTTCTTTATATAAACTTCATTTTCTGCTCACCCCTGGTACAAAAAAACACACAAAAAACTGGAGTATGAACCTTGGCTAGGAGTGTCCAGGATGACAGGAATATAGTAATAGCTAAACAAATACTTGAATCCTGGGGTGATGATAAGGTGACTGATAAAATCTATACCGACGGTCATACATGCCAGGGAGATGAGGGCACAAAAGCCACTGGATTTAGAGGACAGGGCAGGGTTCTAGCTATGCTATCGGCCACTAGTGTGACTTCTCCACATCCTCAGTTTCCTGGGCTTTAGGGTCCACGTCCATCGTACAGGAAAAACTAATCTAGGTATCGATCTTAGATGAGAAATAAGCCAATAAATACAAACATGTGTGTGGAGGGCAAAGCATGACATTGCTTTGTCATTTCTTCAGTGGCTAATGGAGCAGATTTTCTTGCTGTGTGGAAGTTTTGCCGTACATGTTGTCTCACATTTTTAGTTTCTTTCAACAGAGCACGGCGGGACATGGTAAGAGGGAGGAATAGGACATACAGGTGGGTGGGAGTCTGAACACTTACTCATGGGCAGACCCTGGGAAATCCCTTAACCTTTTGGAATCTTAGTTGCTTCATCTGTCACATGGCCATAGCAATGCCATCCATGATGTATCCTGGACACCAAATACACCAGTGAGGATTAAACAGCATACTGTGTGAAATTGCTTTATATAATCGTGATTACTGTTGCTAGACTAGAGGTTTGTAACTTATAAAACTAAAGAGATTTTAAGAAAAGTTTCAAACCATGAAGAATATTCCTGATGCAGAAACGATAAGTCTGCTGCATTTGTCAGTAAAGGCTTGGTAAGGTTCTGGCTTTCCTGAAATGGGATTCATCCGCTCTTTCTTAGAATACTTGGCTTCAAATTGGGGGCGTATTTCTTCCTGAAAGACAAGCAGACACAGCCATAAGTTCTGAGGAGGTACTCACAATAAGAAATATTCTTTTTATACCATCATAAAATGGAATCCACAACTGCCACACCAATCAGCCAGTAAATAAAGCAGGCTTGGAGACACAGCTTTAAGCATTTGAAAATTGATCCCTTGAAGACTATCTGTTAATACAGTGGTCCAGATTCATTATCCTCAAACCAATGTAACTTAGAATACCAGTTACATTTTTCTGGTACCTTGCTAAACTCTCCCTGAAGACAGACTGATTTTTTTTCGAGACAGGGTTTCTCTGTAGCTTTGGAGGCTGTTCTGGAACTCACTTTGTAGACCAGGCTGGCCTCGAACTCACAGAGATCCGCCTGCCTCTGCCTCCCGAGTGCTGGGATTAAAGGCGTGTGCCACCAATGCCCGGCTCAGACTGATATTTAAAACTGACTGCCTGTCCTATATCTAGTGTTTTGGAACAGTAAGAAATTATCACCTTTATTACCAGACAATGATATGGACAGTAAAATGAAGAAGTCTTCTGAATAGGTAAATGTTCAAAATATATTTGTGATTTATATTGACAGTGTCATTCCTATCTTTCTTTTTAAAGCCCAAAATACTTTTATTTTTGTATGCTTAGGTTTAGGTGACTAAAATCCAAAGTGAATCTATATTTAATAAGCTCTTATCAATAGATACTAAATGTATTCTTAATTGCCCAAACACCTTCCAAATGTGATTGTATCAAGGCTCCTTCAATCCCAAATCAAGCTGAGATTTTTGTTTCATTTAGCTGAGTCTTATCCCAATGTGACCAGTTTCCAACTAAAAGGCAATTATGGGATTAGGAAGACAATCAGCAAGAGGCGAACTAGAGTGCTTCTGGTTAATTAAGTGCGTGCTCTACTTGAGCGAACTGGGAAGAGACAGAAAATGAGCAAAACCAGATGGGCTGGAGCCTAAGTCCATGCAGACAGCGCTCAGATGAAAACGGAAGACAAAGGAGACAGAAGAGAATTATGGTGAATGGAAAACAGGCCTAGTTTGGGAATATCTGTGCTCTGTAGAAAGATGTGTTCACAGATACCCTCAATCTTCTTTTACTTTATTTCAGGCAGTGAAGTTTGAGGATACAGAGGTACAGATTCTTCTGTTTCCTTGGGAAACTCTCAGTTTCTTAGGATACAGATGCAAGAACTGCTGCCCATGGACTCCTTGTGAACCCGAGTATTGCCTCAAAACAGAAAACTGTTTTCTGAAGGATGTTTATGAAACATAAGCATGACTGTCTTTCAGAGTAATAGGAATTACTGAAAAACTCCAGTGTCATGTATCAAAGTTCTTTGTCGTTTATATCTTAAATAAACTCAACAAAACAAAGAGGAACTAAGCAAAAACCAAAACAAAACAAACAAAAAACCAAAATCCCGGGACATTAATGGAATAAGAAAAAAAAAAAACCCTGTCAAAATCATTTTCCTTGTCAAACCAATCAAAGGGATAACATTTTCATAATCTGTGTTTCTAAAAGCTCCTGTTAATATAAAGGCTTACATGTTCCCCTAGGAAAGAAAACACCCATAGTAGCTGTAATAACATTAGTTTTTATTACTCACAGTCATAGCAAGGCTCTGATGGTTTGGGAGACTCAAGGGAGGCTAAGAGAAGGGTTAGGAAAGATGGGTGAGGCCCAGATAAAGAAGTGTCCAACGGAAGGATGGGGTGACCGAATCCAGCATGAACAAATGGCTCAAGACAAGAGAATCAGGGTTGGGCACAAATTACGAAAGAACATAGTATTCTGACCTAGAAGGGGGAGTGCGGAACGAAGCGGTTGGCAAGAGTGTTGACAAAGCAGATCCCAGGGGCTGAGCTCGCCCTCACTGGCCGCTTGGTCTACAGCTGAGCCTCCCTTTGTCCGCACCACCAAGGACGCTGCCTAGATCTGCTTCTTCTCAGCACTTACCCTTGACGGAATTCTGACCTTGTGCATTTCTGGGAGCTGCTGTGGGTCCTGGGCTCACAGAAACATTTCCTCAAGTAGTTCTCTACAGAGGTGTGTTTCCTACATCTAGTGACATTAAACACACAACTGCCTTCTAAAGAAAAGAAGATGGATGATATGAAGGATTGTCCTCTTGAATCCTATGTGTCTCTGCCTCCTATCAGAGAAATCTCTTTTTTTTTAAAGATTTATTTATTTATTATGAATGCAATACCCTGCCTCCATGTATGCCTGCACGCCAGAAGAGGGCACCAGATCTCATTACAGATGGTTGTGAGCCACCATGTGGTTGCTGGGAATTGAACTCAGGACCTCTGGAAGAGCAAGCAGTGCTCTTAACCTCTGAGCCATCTCTCCAGCCCGAGAAATGTCTCTTGACTCATGGAATTTTCATTCGCTAACACATCAGAATGGAGCTCAAACATGGGGGTTTGATGGCGGTATTGCCAAATGATGCCAGACTTTCCCACCTTCCTGCCTTATGGTAAAGTTCCATTATGTGACCTGGGCTGGCTTTGACTTTTGGTCTTTCTGCCTCAACCTCCTAGGTGCTAGGGTCACAGGCATGTCACCCAGACCTTCTTTGTATAACTTGAGACCTCCTTCGAAGGCAGGTATTAAAAATGCTTTCTGGATAACCTGACTCCCATCACTCAGTGCAGGCTAACAACTCAGGGACTGCATTTTGGTGGTTTGTGCTGTCAGATATCCCGAGGTAAGTGCTACAGACCTCCTCCTCCTCCCAATCTATCAGATCCCAGTCGTAAGCAATCACTGCTCGGCGTCGCTTCCAAAATTCCAGGAAAACGGTGGCTGCAATAGAGAACAAAGATAGTTTCAAATAAAAAGCAATATTATTTCAGTGATTAATGAAGGCAAGGCAGAGACAATGGTGGTTGTTTGGATCCTTTGTTGTTTTGTTTTTTAAATCAGAATTTCTAACTCAATATAATTTAATCAGGAGAAATTTTGAGACTTACTTAACTTGAGTCAAATATAATGAAAATTAGAGATTCTGACTAGATTTAAATTAAGATGGCTTGCAGGTTGAGTCAGAACAAAGACTTAACATAGGTGGAGATCTTAGAATAAATAATACAGGAAATTTTCCTGCCAATATCTTGCCTATTAAGGTACTTTTTATGTTAATATAAAAGGTATCCAGGAACAGAAAAAAACCTCAAAACTCAGCATACATTTCATTGGTACTAATTTATTGTTCCTGATTCTCTTCAGAGAAAATATGCAAAATATGTTAACCATATTTAGATATATGTAAATATATTTGTATTTAATATAAATATCCTAGGTGGTACATGCTTCTCTTTTGTCTGACAAAATGTATGATGTCCACTTACACTGTTTGACTGAATGGACTTAGTAGGAATGATTACCAACTAGTGTCTGGAATCTGGGTGCATAGCATAAGAATTGTTGCTGGCGACATGTTTACTTTACTGCACTTCATACAGAAGGGCAGTCCATCAGACTGCAATGGTCACTTAGGTAAGAGAGAAATTACCTCTATTTATGCTACAGAACGATGTTAGATCTTTGTATTAGAATGGTATAGTCATATCTCAATGAGTGTAGACACTTTACAATGGGGAAGGAGGTAAGTTTCATGCAGCTGTTGGGACCCTACTTTGAAGGCATGAAGATATAACTACCTGTATTTTACTCCCTTAGAAAATTCTCAAGCCATTCATCTAAACCTTTATTCATCTTACTTGTAAAAGAGGATTTTGCATTTTATCCTCCTGTCTACCCTCATCCCTGCTTGGTACTATTACCTAATCATCCCACAGGGAGGTTCACCTGAGGTGTTAACCTCAATCCCAAATAGCAATCCTTTTGTGACATTAAGTTGACACATTAAGAAAATATGAGACGTTTTCCCTTTTATCACAGGTAGGAATGAGGGCAGGGTTTATGTAGATTGGTATTAAAATACAGTAACCTTCCCTTGTCTGTGGGGTATACATCCCAACACCTGTACAGATGCTTGAAATTGTGTCTGGTATCAAAGTGTGTGTATTCTATGCTGTTTACTATTTGGCCTTAATGCATATATTAGTGAACCCAACATTCACTGTTTCTTTCTTATTAAGCAGAGACTTTCCATATTTTTACTGCAGGAAGCATTTTATAACACCTCTCTGGCACATACACATGAACAACATTCAATATTGGTATTCTTGAACTTGGGTTCGTTATTAAGACCATTCCTAGGACAGTAACTTCAACACAAGCCCTGTCGTACTGTGACACTCAATATGACTTCTCAGAGTAACTAGTTGATGGGTAGCAAATACAGTGCAGATACCCTGGATGAGCTGAAGCAATCTGTGTCCTGGGAAGACAGAGCTGGGCTGTGTAAGATTTCATCATTAGTTTAGATCAGTGTACAATTTAGTGTACTTATTTCTAGAATTTTCTATTTAATATTATTGGATCATGGTTGACCAGAGGTAACTAAAATAGGAAGAAAACAAACAAAACCAAACAAATTACAGCTAAGGTACTATTGTACAAGAACACTTTTTAGCTTAGAATCATATACAGCTGAGAAGACTGACATAATGAGCTCATAAAGAACACTTAGTGGTGAGGATATACACTGTGCTTATTATTTTCTGAAGTAGAACAATCACTGTCAATTTCAAATATATTTGCATCAGGCTGTTACAATTTCTACCAAAGCCATTTTTATTACATTAATTTACTGAAATTAGACATGGCCATAACCCACATGACCATAAATAGCAGGCTTCATGTGGGATTGAAGACTTAGGAAGAAGAGGCTGCTGCTTCCCCAGGCTCCCTCTTTTGTTTCGTTTCATTTTTCAGCAATGAAGAGAGAAGATGGAGTCATATGACAGAAGGAACCCTAGCCATTCATCTGAATGGAAATAAGGACTGCCTGCTTAGACTCTACCGAAGGCCCCGTGTTGGGGTTTGTGGATGAAAGCTGACCTAGACTTCTTTCTGGAAAGTACAGCCTATGGTTACATTCTGCAAACTGGAAGAAAGAAGCCATGCGTGGTGGCTCCATCTCACCTAGGCGTTTAGAGATGCTTGGTGGAAAAATGCTCCCCTTAGATTGTCCCATACTCTCCATGCTGTACTCCTTAACCATCCTGATTTGTCATCTGTGTTTTAATTACTAGGTTACACTTTAATTTAACCTTCTATTGAAATGACAACAGCCTAAAAGAAAAAGGAAGTCTACTTTTCCAGTTATTTTTGGGTACTGTGCTGAAACAGTTATAAATATGAAGGGGCTATGTTCCAAGGTTATTATAGGTTTAGTAGGTGAACCTGGCATGTACTTGTATCCTGCATGCAGATCTGTAATTTCCAGAGAGCCTAGGAAAACCTGCACTTATCTCAAAAGCTTCAGGGGATACAATGCTACCAATGCCACACCTTTTTTTGACTACTGATAATATAAATGGTTTGTAAAAGGCCTAATTTGATGCCTTATATTTAAAATGTCTGTTCTGGAATCCCAATAGAAGAATTACTCTGTCAGAAAATAGCTGTGAAGACATTTCCCTTGAATTTGAAAAACTAAGAGACTTAAAAATCTTATGGTGTATCTCCTCTGCCAAGTGCCAGAAGCTTATGCTCCATTTCTGTGAATAAAGCAAGAATAAGGGCTACATAAAATGGTCCGTGTGCATGAAAGGCAATGGGTGACTTTTATCTCAGAATGATGGCCTAGCTCAAAGCATTTGATGCTGATTGGCTGCTCCACTCTCGTGACTCAAAGCACCTTCAGAAACCTAGATACGATGATTTCCTTGCTGGATCTGCAGCACTGCTTGGTTGGTGGAGTTCTTGTTTTTTAAGCATACGAGTCTGGGTTTATTCTCTGGGACATCATCATCGTCATAATAATAACGATCTTACTTTCTAGGAAATGTAGGATGAATTATTTCACATATATAACCACTTTCCCAGCAATACTCATTTCTTTTTAAAAATGAAATTAGTGACATCAACAGATTTTTTCTTTTTGTTTTTTTTCAAGACAGGGTTTCTCTGTGTCTTTGGAGGCTGTCCTGGAACTAGCTCTTATAGACTAGGCTGCCCTCGAACTCACAGAGATCTGCCTGCTTCTGCCTCCCAAGTGCTGGGATTAAAGGCATGTGCCACCACTGCCCGTCTCAGATTTAATTTTTACCAGACTTTTGTAACTCTCTGAGAATGTTTGCTTGGATAAAATGTGGGGAACTAGAGCAATATGCTTCTCCCAAGACATAAGAGACAGAAATGAGGTCAGGTCTGACAGTGTCACATGTAAATCCACACATACAAAAAACACTTAGCTAAGAATTATAAACTCAAAGCTAGGAAGGCAACAGAGAAAAAGAGTCACTTACTAGGGAGTTGGAGATTGGAACAAACATTTCTTAGTTCTAATTGGCCATGTTACAGAACAAGCCCCACAATTTTCAAGAGAAAAAAATCTTCACATAAACCATATCAGTATCAAAATAACAGCATTAAATATTAAAGAACACAAGCAGCATGTTTTTGTAGTTTACTAATTTAGAAGACCCCAAAGAGGCCAGTGTAATCATGTAAATGAGAAGCTGAGACATTTATGAGATACTGTGATATGTCAAAATGAGTTAATTTTGGAGTGTAGGAAGTCAGGAGTGAAGACATATTTTAATAAGATCAAAGCTAACCATTGGTGCCAGGACCTTTGGTGAGTACACGAATTTACATGCAGGGCAGGGTATTTACAACTCATAGGTAAAAGTCCAAAAAGCCAATTTGTGAAAGTCTGATGTACCATAAAATACTCTAAAAATACCCTGATGGAAATGCAGTTTCTAGGGGTGTTCTGGGTAATTGGAGCAAACACTGCTGATTAATCAAGCTGAAAGAAACAGTTCTCAAGAAACAACCCTGTCCTTCCCATTCACTTAACAATCATTGACTCCATTAATTCAACATACCAAATAAATTGCTAGATGCAGTAATTTCCATGCTTAAATGAGACATAATAATAACTTTGGTTTCACAAGCATGTTACACAGGGATTCTGGAGAGTCATTTTAAACTATTCTCTGTCCAAAATGTAGTTTCACATTCTGTGTTGATACTGGAAAAGTCTGGGAGAGAGTACTGTCTCTCCAAGTCACATTAGCTTTTGGGAGTTCTGACACCATTTCTGAGTTAGTAACTGAGGGAATTCTACAGGCATTGTAGTTTTTTTCTAGGGACTACAGTTTTATGGGGCCCACCGAGGATGCGCTTCCTCTCTGTAAAAAGGGACCACACTGCAGTGTTCTGGGAACCCTCACTTCATGCTTAAGGGCTTACCTACTAAAATACATAAAATAGCTATTATGCACATGACTGAAAGACACTGAAGAACGGATAACTGAGAGAAAGATGAATGAAGTGTTCACTCAGGGTTGTTCCATCAGCTCATTGCTTAGAGTCACCAGAACACTGTTCAGGAAAGAGTATGAAAACATGTTAGGGAGGACATTGAAGTGAGGTAGGGTACTAGCTAGGAAGGGCCACGTTAGGAGGACTTGGGCAAAGGTACTGTCTCCAGGACATGATAGGACCATGGGGAAGAGAGTCTGCTTTCTTTACGGGCATGGCCCCTGGTAGGCTAACCATGCTCCAGTGAATGATACCACATACATCTATGAGTATATATGGGCATCACAAATTGGATTTAATGGACAAAGAGTTATCAAAAGAAGGAATAAAAACAGCTAAGAAATGTCTCAAAAGTCTTCATCATTCTTAACACATTGGAAAGTACAAGTGAAAACAACTTT